AGAGGAGAGATTCAATTTTCTTGGGTAGCGCCCTTGTATCTTGGTTTAGCAAAGAAACAGACATCAGTTGCTCTTTCTACTGCCGGAAGCAGAAATATGTTACTGTTGGAGAAGCTGTGTTGCCAAGTTCTATGGATCAAACAACAGTTGGCAGATTATGGGACTGACAATTAGAAAACAGTGGCCTATCAATGTGATAACATAAGCGCCAAATCAATTTATCCAAGAATCCAAGTTCAACATTCTAGAACCAAGCATATAGAAACCTCAGAACATCACTTCATACGTGATCATGTACAAAAAGGTGATATCGTGATTGAGTTTCATTCCCACAGAAAACAGGCAAATTGGTAGATTTTTTACAAAAACCCGTTGAATGAAAGTTCAATTCTAACGCAATTACGAAGAGGAACTTGGTATGTTAAAGTTCTAAACCTCCGTAACTTTAGAACTCTGTAAGTATGTTTCTAAACTTTGCTTTCTAATTTCAAGAATAGAAGATTAGCTTATGTTCTAACTTTTTATTCTGTGTGAAAACTGGTTTTGTTCTAAAAATGCACGTTTTCTTTTATGACTTTCTAAAGTCATTATCAGAATCTTGTATTAACGACTAAAACCAAGTTATTTTATTGGTATTTGCTTTAATGTGTTTTTCGTTTTGTCTTTTAGTGCTTTTGGCGGTTTTAGGTTTTATTTCTTTTATTTTTTTTTGTTTTATTTCCTTTATTTAATTTTGTTTCTTTGTCTTACATTTGCCGTTTTGAATTTCAATTTAAAACTGTTCTTTACTGTCTTTCCTTCCGCCACTTAAGCGGTCTCTATCTTGGTGTTAACTGCTTTAGCATACTCTTTATCTTCTCTTTGTCCAAAAACTTTGAAAACTGAAACCCTAAGTTGCTTTTGAGTTTCTGCAACAATGGCCGAATCCAGTTCAAACTCCTCATCTGACTCTCTTACCGAGTAAGAGCTTCAACTTCTAAAGAAACTTTCAAAGAAGTATGAACAGAAAGAGATGAAGGAGAAAAAGGCAGAGGAGAAACCTAA